TGGTTTCCAGGGCCAGGAGGGGCAGAGAGGGGCAATGGAGAGTTGTTATGTGATGAGCATGTAGAGTTTCAGTTTTGCCAAATAAAAGAACTCTGAAGATGGGTGTTGGTGATGGTTATACACAGTATGGATGTGTTTAATACCTCTGAACTGCACACTTAAAATGGTTATGATGATAAATCTTGGGCCATTTGTATTTTGCCATGATTTTTTAAATGAGTGGAGAAAACCATTAGAGATAAAGAGAAGGTCCTAACAACAATGACAACAAAGGGGAATCCAATTTCTCGTCAGGAACACTGAATATTAGAAAGCAATACAGAAAAACATATTCAAAATTCTGTGCTGAGTTGTTTTCAACTTACTTGTCTATATTCAGACAAATTATTATCTGACCATAAATGTGGAAAAAGGTCTCTTTCAGACCAACATCCAGATATACACACATACAAGGTGTAGTGATGGTGGCTGGCTAAATGGCTGCTGTTAATGTATTTTTACTTTTTAAAAAATATTTTGAATAGGCAGTGAATTTGCAGGTTCAATTTGCATGGTTTAGGCTATAGGAAAAGAAATCACAAATCTCCCCCTGAAATCCACGGGTCCATATTCTCAGGTCTCACTCTTCCTTCCCAGTTGTTAAATGCTCATGTAACTTCCAGAGTTTCACTATGCATGCATATATAAGCAAATTTCAATGTAGGCTCTTTCTTCCTATTCTCTTCATTTGAATGATTGGTTTAAATGGGCCCGAGTAGCAGATACGTGGTAGGAAAGGCCCGAGTAGCTGAAGATTGAGCCATGTGAAGATTTAGGAGAACATTCCCTGGAGAGGAAGAGAGAGACCAGAGGACCCACTGCAGGAACCGAGGTCACGTGTTTAAGGATCAAAAGGAAGGGCAGCGATGGGTATGGAGTGAATGCGGATAGTGCAACAGGAGAAAAAATACAAAGGGAGAAAGAGGCCAGTGACTCCACCCAGAGCAAGAGCTGACAGCTGTCCAGCCCTGACTTCATTGAAAAACTGCCTGCCGGCCGTGGTAGCCAGCCCTGTACCCCCCGCCCTGAGACCACCATGATAGTTTGACCTAAAATAGGATCCCCTGAACCTCAGTTTGTTCCAGGAAATTATAAGCCTCCACCCCTAGCACTGAACACTTCTTTCTCACTTGCCCCCTTGAAGCCGACCAAGAAATGTGGCTGAAGTCCAAACAGAAAGGTTCTACCACTTCTAAAAATCCACCTTAATAGAATGCTTGCCAGTCAGAGACTGGGATTCCTCTTCTTTTCTATAAACGTATTCTCCTCCCTACCCCCTTAGAACTCCTGCCCAAATGAAGGTGATGACAGAGGGAGCCCAGGCCCAGTGTGCGAACAAACAGCCTTGGCTGCCGTTGTCTCCAACACAGTTTTGGCTTTGACATTGTGAAACCGTTATACCTTTGGCCTAAGTGCAGGGCCCTACCTTACCCCAGCTCCTAGGATGGAGAGGGAAGAGGGGAGGGAGAAATCAGCAGATGTTTGTTTTATTTTACATTATTTCAGTATTATCTATACTTCTCATACTCTATTATCTTCTAATACGTTTCCAAATATTTATTTTATTTTAGTTCCAAATTTGGCATTTAGAGGAGTTCGTCTCTTTTTTTTTCAGACTGAAGACCTCACGTTAGTCCAATACATACACAGACATAACAAACTCACGAAACTTTCTAAGCTTCATTTAAATGATTCTCTGCTGTGGTTTCCATAAAGCCGTATTACGACTCAGTGTGCATATTTAGAGAAATTATGATGATTTCTTTTAAAATTCTAATTATGGTTTAAATGACCTAATTGCCATTTAGAATCAGGCACGTTATACACACAATTCAATACGCTTCTTTCAAATTTTGCCAAGGATTAAAATGAATTGTATAGTGCATAATTGCACCTTAATTATTTCGGTGATTGGTTTCCAGTTTACTATTTCTCTTTATAAATTATCTTCGTTATCCCTAGAATCTTCGTTTGATAGAAGAATAGTGCTGAAAAGGTGAAACTCTTTAAATGTGTTTATTATACACACAATGCATATTTATGAGAATTTAAAACAGTATGGAAGTTGGTAGAGTAGGAGGGAAAATGTGTCCCTGTCGTCATGAATTTTACTCCCATGAGGTAATCAAGATACAATGTGTGTGTATATGCATGCACATATGTGTTTAGAGAAAAATCAGGGAGACTTTGTGAAGAGGTTAGCCAACTGCAATCTTAAAGGGAAAACGCCCACACAAGACTGCCCTCCCTTCTGAAAGCAGGTGCACGTTTCTGGGGATCCCAAGCCAAGGTCAGGTTTGTTCCTCTGCTACAAGGACTCACTGAAAACTGTTATACTCATGGTGACAGTTTATTTGAGGGAAAGGATAAGATGAAAATCAGCAAATGGATGAAGCACAGAGGGCAGATCCAATGAAGTACCAAGCATGGAGCTCCCATGGTCCTCTCTCCACGGAGCCGGGACACATCCATTTCTCGGCATCACTGTGTGACAATGCACACAGAGTATCACCATGGAGGGGACCTCATCTAAGCTCCATGTTCAGAGTTCATATTGAGGCATCATTGATAGATTCATTGCCCTCATGGCTGAACTCAGCCTCAAGGTTGTCTCCCGTGGCATAACCCTAAATATGATTTTGGGTTTTCTGGTGTGGCCAGCCCCCCACCCTAAGACTATCTGGGTATAGGCAGCTGCTACCATGTATTGTATTGTTAGAGTACCTGGTGAACCAAGGCCCAGGAGAACAAAGACACTCTTATCAGGCCTGCCATTCTCAGGGCTTAACAATTACCTTCAGAAGTCAAGGTCAAAGACCAGAGATCTTTTGGGGCAAGGTTAAATTCTTTACTATATGGGCTTCCAATAGAGGAGTAAAAACATCCAAACTGATTTCAGACATTAGTCCACAATGACCCTTAAAGGAGGGAATTGTCTTCTTGCTACTGTACAGAGTGTCAGGGATGGCAGGGGGAGAGTAGAAACTATTTGTTTTATGCTTTTGCTGTTTGCTACTGCTGGTCTCTATTTCATTTGACTCCCTTTCTCCCTTTTTCTGCCTCTTCCAATTCACTGCTCTTAGTTTCCATGATGAAAATGTAACACAGTGCTAGGAACCACCTGTCAGATGCCCCAGAGATGGGTGAAGGAATGAAGCTTCCATTTGATATTGGTTCGATATAGATAGACTTTGTTCATTTATTAAATATAAAAGAATATCCTTTTTTCAAGAAAGAATATTTGTCTCCTTACCTTTCCACTGACCCCATTTTCTTCTTGAAGACTAGATCTCCCAGCAAATTGTTTCTTTTCTTGCTTTTTATGGAGTGCACAGAGAAATAGCTCTTTGTTGCAGTAAAGTCAACAGCTCGGATATGTGGGAACTTGGCCCTGACTCCTACGCTCCAACTCAAATGACCACTCCTGTCTGGCAGTGATTGTCCCTAAAGCACATCTCATTCGAAAGAATAGTGGCCACTCCACTGTAGCTGACAGTCACATGGAGAAAATGTGAGATCAGGTTTCCCAACAAAGGTAGAAAATCTGTGACCACTCTACAAATTTCTTCATTTGTGTGAAATTCAAACTAGGATAAAATTAACTACGTTAAAGTGAACAATGTAGTAACATTTAATACATTCACAATGTTGTGCAATCACTTGTTCTATCTGGTTGCCAAGCACTTACAGTGCTCCAGAATAAAGCCCCGCACCCATTGAAGAGTCACTTCCATTCTCACCTCCTTCCAGCCACTGGAAAGCACCGATGGATATTACCTGTGCTGGATATTACCTACACTGGATAAATGGAATCATAGAATATGTGATCTTTTGTGTTCGGCCTCTGAAATCACTCCGTTTTAAATGTGGTCACAATGCTAAAAGAAAATGAATAATAGTACTGGGTTAGATAAACCAAATATATGTTAGGATGGGTGTAACCCGCCTGGCTGCTAGTTAATAGCCTCTGCCCTCATACAGAAAGTGATAGGAGGGGCCAGAGCTGGGAGTTTGATGGAGAGGAAGGGGCCTGGCAAAGATGTTCTCTGGGAAGGCAAGAAACTGTGCAAGGTCACCATGATTCATAAATCCAGTCAAAGACACAGAATCCTATAGAGAGAGCTTTTTAGAAGCATGGTTTACATTGGCGAGCCAAGTCCAATGTGTTAGAAAGTCTTAGAAAGTAGAGAATAGAGAGAAGTTCTCTGAAGTTGACAATCAAGTAGACTCCAGGCTTTAAAAGTGTGGAGGATTAAAAAGGAAAGTTATGTATAAAATAGAAACGTTGGGGATGATGACAATTGGAGTTCAACGTGAAGCACAGCTTTACTCTGATAATTTTTAGTTTCAGTTTCTCCATCAAAAAAATGAGAATAATTACCCATTGCGTTGGATTGTTATCAGAATTATAAACATTGTTTATAAAAGACCTGGCACACAATAAAAATCAAGTATGAACTATTGTAACCATGAGGCCGTTACCGACAAACAGTTTAAAGGACTAATCTCAGGATGCATATTTGCCCTCCGGACGGCGGGGCGCACACGGAGTCACGCCCAGGGAGTCCACAGGTTTAGTAGATCCTCATTATAAGACAGAGATGTGCCTTAGAAACGTACATGATGCGGCTTGACCGCTCGTTTAGGGAAATCGTCACGGGCTTTTAACATAAACCTAACGTAGTTTCACTCATTGGAAAGGAGGCAGCTGCACAGTGTGACACCATGTAGCCCTTCTCGGTTGTGGAAATGGCAGTTAGGGAGAGATCTCGCCTGTCAATGCCACACTGCCAGCTGGACAGATCCCAGCTTTAGAAGGACAGCTTCTGTGTCTGACGAAGTAGTTCAAATTGTTGTGCTTTTTTCATAAAGTCCTCTCTGCCAAACAAAGGGTAAAGAGTCAGGGGTATTTGTTGGTTTGACAAAACTTAGATTTAACATTAAAACACATTTTTAGTAGTGTGCTTAGCTGGCAGGGGAGGTACCAAGATCGCCCAGGAGGTGGTTTTCCTGGGCGAGGCTTATCCATTGTACTGCGGATGTGCTGACCCCTGCAATTTCCCCAAATGTGGGAAACTTCCCTGCAAAACTTGTGGTAGTGGGGGCCTGTGTTCCTGCTCTCCCCTGATAAAGAAAAGGAAAAAGACATTTTTAGTAATTATCTCCACTTTTAAGAGTAATTGAAAATTAAATCAACGCCTCAATAATAATAATCATAATCATAAAACATTTTGGTCTATTTAAGACCAATTTTACATCATAAAGATGGTAACCAGAGGGGAGGAGGAGGGGAATAACAGGGAAGAAGGGGGAGGCTCATCAAACAACATGTATAAAGGACCCATGGACAAAGCCAAAGGGGGGGTAGGATTGAGGGTGGGAGGTTGTGGTGGGGGGAAGGGATGGGGCAAAATGGAGACAATTGTACTTGAAAAACAATAAAAATAAATAAATAAATAAAAAGAAAAGAAAAAAGATTTAAAGACATGACGACAAGTAGTAACAATTAATCTTACATAATGCCCACATGTTTGAAATGATGTGTGCACATTATAACAGAAAAATGAAGGTAGGGTCATCTTTTCCTCTTTAAAATTCTATTTTCTGATTAGTTTTGTGTATATTAATGATAAAAGTCTAATATCCTTTCTAGCAATTGTGTCTTTGATTTAAGTAAACTGACTTGAGTCAGCGAAGGGGAAAAAGGCCTGATTTTTAGACAGGTACCAAGAGAGAAAAATCAAGTCCGAAGCTGCCATTTGTCTCTTACAAAATGAAGTGCACAGTTTGCCATGTGAAGTCCTTTCCTTAGGGCTTCCTCCGGCTCTCAGTGTGGATGGAAGGTGATATTGTCAAGAAGCACATGAGATCTACAGGACAGATTTGGACCCAGTGTTTTAAGAAGCAGGTGGCTCAGGGTGAGCCAGTTTCGGTTATATCCTGGCCCATAGAAATTAATAAGGGTCTTGTCTGGGCAGGGACAGGATCACAACTGTGGGGAGCAAGGTCCTCATTTCGGATTGATTGCCTGCTTGATTAGGCAAGGACTTAGCACAGGAGCAGGAATCCTTTAAACCAGTATTTCCAAAACTACAGCACTTCCTAGTGATATCAAACAAATAAAGTTAGGTCATATATACATTACATAGTAATACTTTTAATTATTCTGACTATGACAAGTGATACCATTTCTACATTTATTAGTTAAATTAAAAAGTTTCAATTAAAAAAATAATGGTTAAAGTTTTGTGAAACATTCCAAAAATCACGAAGGTTATACGTGAATGGCCGGTCTGTGAAACATCCATTTCAGGTCAAACAGCAGGCCCGTTTTTTCATGGCAGCGCCCCTCATCCTGAGAGACAGTGGCCACGTGAGTCGACATCCTCAGACTCCATCAAAACCAGCAGGTTTTTTTGGGGGGGTGGGTTTTAATTTTTACCTTTGTGTGTTTTTAATTTAATTCCTATAAATATAAATATAGTCTAACAGGTAATAAATGCAAAAAGATACTACCTCCCCAAGTCCCAGGATGGAGATGAGTAACCCACATGATCAGAAAACATCGGTCCCACTGTGAGAACTTTGTGTATTAGCTAGAAAAGGATACAATAAAAGTCAGCCACCCTGTGAAATACCAAAAGTTTGGTATTTGCTTATCTACAACAATACAAAATTCATTCCAAATTAATAACAACCCACGGCCGCACGAGGGCCCCCGGAAGACACCCCCCCCCCCCCCCCTAATAAAAAAAAAAGCCGCGCCCCTCTCTATTTTTTTATGTGGGGTGGAGGCCCAGGCCTCGCCGGAATGTTTACTTTAACTATGTTAATATTATTTCAAAGGCCAACTCCTGTGATGATTTGAGACCCATACAATGAAGCAGAATTTTTAAAAATGATTGAGGACATTGCGTCAAGGAAAGACACCACACAAACAGCAACGTCCGACCTGCAGGCTGTGTGGCTAGAAATGCACTACAAAGTTCGGTATGAGCTTCCTAGCAGCCAAACCCAAGGCAAACGCAATTAGTTACTGGGGGTGGCACACTGCGGCCCTTGGGCCAAGCTTCATATGCCGCCTGGTTTCGTCGATCAAGTTTCACTGGGGCACAGCCATGATCACGCGTTTCTTTCCCGTCTACGGCCACTGCTCCATTACGGCGGCAGAACCACGATGTCGTAGCAGAGACCCTGTGGTGTCCAAAGACGAAAGTGTTTGCTATCTGCCCTTTACAGAGTTCGCCAAACCATCCAGTGGACAACATTTCAGGACCTAAAAGATTTTAAAAATTCACTGGCTCAAGTTTTTCTTTTTTTAGTTTTAAAAGTTATTGATTTTGATTTAAATATTTATGAATATTGATAGGATATTTTTGCTTGAAACTTTAGAGTTCCATACTCATGGATTAGCAGAGTAAATTACATTGTAAATTTCAGTTAGTCAAAGCTGATCTCTTGTATAAATAGAATAGCATATATCCAATATCTCCGTAAAATATTAATCTAAAAAGGGACTGCCTCTATAAGGCCAGCTTTAAAACAAGTACATTATCATCTGTTATTCTCTACCTTAGATGTTTAGATACAGTTTTCTGCCTTTTAAGGTCCATCACATTAGTCAATAAGTGCAGAGGAAAAGCCATCTCTCAATAAAGGACATTTTCTTCTGCTCAGTCTTAGTACAGATCAGCAGCAACTGTCATAAAATGGATTTAGGGCAATACGCTGAAAGAAAAAGATGAGAATATCAATAAAATTTCTTTAAAAATCTTTCCATTGCTTGGACTTTAGAGGAGGCAGGGAAAGAAAGAAAATAAAGGGAGGCAGACCTAACCGTGAATATGTGGAGTCCACTCTCAGCTTTCACATCTAGCAGCCTAAACTTAAAGCCCACTTTACTATCTGGCCAAACTTCCGGGGCAGATTTTCTCTCCACAGATGTGGCAGACGCTGGGATGTTGGCACTGAGGCATGTGAACAGTGGCACCCAGAGGAAGAAGCCTCAGGTCCTGCTGCTAATGACACACAGGAGCTGCCTCGGTTCCTGCTTCACTGAGGCCTGGCTGTCCAGATCTTCCTTAGACCCCGTGAAGTTCTCCATCTTTTCCTAATTTTTACTGCTGTATCCAAAGGAACTTGGGTTCATCCAGATAGAATTTTTTCAAATAATAATAGTTAATGCATCTCTCCAAGCTTTTCTCTTCCATATGAAATATATTTACTTTATTCTTTCCTCAAAATAATTTTATTGGGAGAGAAAAATTCCAGTAATCTAAACAAATACAATTGTAAAAACAGACTTTAAAACCAAACCTAAACCATGGCTTCCTTAAAATCTTGTGTTGAGAACTGAACACAATGTTCAAGACACTGTGTGATCAGTACCACATAGGTCAAGACTATCACCTCCCTAATTCTAAACACTATAGTCCTACTAATGCATCCAGATGTCATATTTACTTTTTTCTGATAGACACATAACACTACTGACCTTACATTTAACTAAATTAATCACATTTTTACCATTAAAGCTGACACTCAATTATGTTGACATTTTTTAATATATTTTTATTTTATTGATTATGCCATTACATTTGTTCTATTTCCCCCCTCCATTCCCCTCCACCCTGCACCCCCCTCCCCCACCATCCCCCCTTTAGTTCATGAACACGTGTCTCAAGTTGTTTAGATTCTATATTTCCCATACTATTCTTACCCTCCCCCATCTATTTTCTATCTACTGTCTATGCTACTTATTTTCTGTACCTTCTCCCCCCTTCTCCTTCTCTCATTCCCCTGTTGCTAATCCTCCACGTGATCTTCATTTCTATGGTTCACTCCCAATCTAGCTGTCCTCCTAATTTGCTTTTGTTTTAGGTGTGGTTGTTAATAACTGTGAGTTTGCTGTCCTTTCACTGTTCATCTTTTTTTATCTTCTTTTTCTTAGGTAAGCCCCTCTAACATTTCATATAATAAGGGCTTGGTGATGATGAACTCCTTGAATTTGATCTTATCTGAGAAGCACTTTATCTGTCCTTCCATTCTAAATGAAAACTTTGCTGGATAGAGCAATCTTGGTTGTAGGTCTTTGGATTTCATGACTCGGAATACTTCTTTCCAACTCCTTCTTGCCTGTAAGGTCTCTTTTGAGAAATCCGCTGACAGTCTGATGGGAACTCCTTTGTAGGTGACTGTCCCCTTATCTCTTGCTGCTTCTAGGATTCTCTCCTTCATTTTAATCTTGGCTAATATAATGATGATGTGCCTTGGTGTGTTCTTTCTTGGGTCCAACTTCTTTGGGACTCTCTGAGCTTCCTGGATTTCCTGGAAGTCTATTTCCTTTGCCAGATTGGGGAAGTTCTCCTTTATTATTTGTTCAAATAAGGTTTCCACTTGTGACTGTTCCTCTTCCCCTTCTGGTACCCCTATAATTCGGATGTTGGAGCATTTAAAGATGTCCTGGAGGTGCCTAAACCTCTCCTCATTTTTTTGAATTCTTATTTCTTCATATTTTTCTGTTTGGTCATTTTTTCCTTCCTTTTGGTCTGTTCCCTTGATTTGAGTCCCAGTTTCCTTTCCATTACTATTGGTTTCCTGTGCATTTCCATTCATTTCAATTAGTTTAGCTTTCATATATGTTCCTTTAATTTGTGACTAAAATCCACCAGTTCTGTGAGCATCCTGATCACCAGTGTTTTGAACTGTGCATCTGAAAGTTTGGCTATTTCTTCATTGCTTAGATTTATTGCCTCTGGGGCTCTGAGTTGTTCTTGAGCCATGTTTTGATCTGTTTGTGCCTGTTACGTATGAGGAGAGGCGCCTTAGTTGTTCACCAGGGCAGGGCCACCCAGGTCGCTGGTTTGTGACGCTGTATGTGGGGGCGGGGCCAGAGCAGGAGCAATGGGGGTCCTCTCCGCTCGCCCAGTCCCCCTCACCGCTTGCTCTCGCCTGTTCATCTGAGCGCAAATGTGCGAGCCTGCCGCCCTGTGCCGTGTGGTCTCAATGTTCATCTCTTCACTGGTGTATCTGCGCACAAATGTTCGAGCGACAGCTGCTCCTCTTTCCTGGGTCCGCCCGTAGCTAGCCCGCACCTGGGATCCATGCCCTCAGCCGCCTTACCACCG